TTGCCATGTTTTAACAAAGTTCATCGTAACATCCCTTTGTAATCGCATACAAACTTGAATTTAACTAAAATGTTATATTTTAAACTAATATAGGCATGATAAAAAAAATTATATGTGAGGATGCAACTCGCTTGGCATAATAATGATCAGCCAGGTATTTGTTAAAGTAATTCCTAGAAAAATAAATTTATTGATTTGCTGTGTTATGCATGTTAAACTATACAACCTTTCCTTGATAATTATGATTTTTGCACTATTTTAATTATTGTAAAGCATACGCCAGAAACAAAATAATACAAATGTAAAGCGTGGGGCGCATACGCCCCACGCGGCTTGAACGGAAAGTCTTTAAAAAACGGTCTGGCAGGGAACGTGTTAACGAACTCCAGATGATACAACAGGATTTCAAAATTCTTGAAATATTTTTACTGGTTTGCAGTTGATTTGGCGTGAAGTGAGGTAAGTGCAAACTGGTTAATATAAATTGTTGAAATATAACATGCATATCTTCAATTTCTGAGATGAATAATTATCATTACCTGTGTGCACGAAACATTGTTAAACCCTAAATCACTTTTTCTCAGATCATTCAATAATTGTTCTTTTCTGTAATGATTATGCAATTAATTTGGCGGAGATAGATATGTACAAAGGATCGGTAGAAATAATCTTAAACAATTGTTTTGGAAAATAACAACTTTAGTCTTAGAAAATAATGGGAAAAATGTCAAATTATTTTTCTGAACTTAGATATTAATCTCTTTGCTGAGTTATTAGAGCTATGAGAGCTATGTTAAATCTGGATTATACAGGTTTTATTCTATTTATGCGTGTGTCGATTTAAGAAATCGATTTCTTGTTGACGTTTATTAATCTGTCCAAAGTCCTGGATATTTATAATAATTAATATAACAATATTATATTAATAATTTATATATATGTTAATAATTAATATAATATAATATATTATTATATATTGATATAATATACATATAAATTTATAATTTATATGTATTCACATTATTAAAAAGTTATTGACAAAGTTTCAAGGAAGTAAAATCGTACCACTTTAAACATATTTTTCCCGAAACAACATTTTTAGAATAAACGTATGAATTGTTCGCGGAATCGATGAACTTGTTTTCTCTCGGAATACGTAGAATTTTATGGCTTTATAGTAGTATGCGATAACAATAGAAAAAAATTAATTTCCATTAGCATCGTCAAGGGTCGGCATAACTGTTAATTTAATTGAATAAATAAAGTTTACTATTGAAACAATAGTTCTGCTATTAAATCTTGCACTATTAAAAGTTTATTTTGTTCTAATATCAAATGAAAGATACAACAGATAAAATGTAACTTAATTTGCGGTTGATATTTAACTCGACAAATTTTTATGTCATTGTATTATATCGCACGAACAGTGAATAAAACTTTTTCATCTTTTTTTCTGACAATCAATCTGGTGTTGTTGAGTGCGCTCCGGATACTTGTTAAAAGTTTTTAATAAAATGTAAGCCGGGAATGCGTTAGACCGTTGACCGTTGCACCAAAACAAATTATGCAAATAAATAACAGCTAACTGCGAAAAATACTTGTTACAGGTGGAGGTATCGGACATGTTCATCGATTCCGCGAACAATTCATACATTTGTTCTAAAAATGTTGTTTCGGGGGAAAATACGTTTAAAGTAGTACGACTCTACTTCCCTAGAACTTCGTGAATAATTTTCTAATAATGAAATAATAAATAAATGCCAATAAATAAACAACAAATATTTCTCCATGTCTAGTGTTTCGTAACTACGTACACTGAAGAGAATACAACATCTAATATAATTGTCCAAATTAGAATCTGGAACCGTCTACACAAAGTCAGGCCTTTCCACAGTCAGTTCTATCAGTTTCAAACTTTGACTGACATGCCATCAATCTCAAAAATTGCATAAAATTGAAACATTTTCTTTAATCAAATGAAACTTCAAAAGTTAAATTGCACGATACCAAGTACTTTCTAAACATCCTTATGTTTTATGGATCCTAGTAAAATTAGAAAAATATAATATATTATCGTAAAAATCTATTTTCAAAACCCACCCTCGCTATTTTTGTTATAAATAAATAAACTGCGAATCTTTATACGAAATAAATATTATCACGGACAATTGCAACAAAAAGAAGTCGGATAGAAATTTCTGTCCTCCTTTAATAATTTCAGTGAGTCGAAAGTGCTTGAATTAAAAAATGTATTCAACTATTCGCTGCAAAAGTATCTTCGTAATTATAACAATTTAATTAAAAAAATGATCATCTCGACCGGCGTGGTACGTTAGTAAATAATAAGGATATAAATACAACGACTATAACGAACCAAATGCACTAAGGAAAGCAACAGGCATGAAAGCATATTTTTATGAAAAAAAGATCTTACCTGTATAAACAGCCAGGATGTGATAAGCGCCAAACTGCTGTATTGACCGTTGAACCGATAATGATAAGCGTAGAAGGAGAAGTGATAAAGAAAGAAGAACCTGAAACAAACAAAAAAATACGTTTCTCGTATAACAGAGCAGTAATTGTTTTTTCGGCTGGCGGTGCCAATAAAGTTACTTAACCGACTACATAACCCTCCCTCCACGTATTTGGTGGTATACTGGTGGTCATGCAACAACATGGACCCTTTATCGATCAGACCGTATCAGGTTCCTGCCCATTGAAATATCGTGTCTAACGCATCACACCGACTGTCATTAGTAAACTGCGGATTTTATGCGTTTATTGCAAAAATAAATTGCGGTTTAAAATAAAACAATAAAAATTTATTTCAAGGAATTCAATAACATCGATGTATTATTGCAAACGTATTCATATGTTTCGTATTTATATGTTTAATGATAGGAATAGCTAGGAAGCAACGTTCAGATTTTTTTTCATTTACATTGGATGTAATTGTGAAGATTGTTCGTTGAGAAATTTTCTGATAAACCGTTTTAATCGAGCAGATATTCGAATAGAAGTAAGTTGAGTAAATTCAATCTGGTATTAATGAATGAAGTGGTATTTTATTTAGCTTCTGAACCTTACAATTGATGAAGAAAATTCCCATTTTGCATAGACATCCCTGGTCTAGTAATTAGTATGCCTGAAAATTCATTAGCTCCGTAAATAATTCACTGGTTTTAAAAGCATCTCCAGGATCTTTTGCAATTCTCTTTTAATCTGGACGTTTTTCATTACCATTCTTGCAGAATAAATGGTTTTATTAACGTAACATAGTTACTATGACTAGACTGCAGATTTTTATGCAAAACAATAACTGTTTGCATTAATTGCAAGATCCAGAAGCAGCATAGACATTTCTATCTTTCTCTTGCTTGTATTATTACGTTGAAAATAAAGCAACGGCGTTTTTGAATTGTTTACATATTTTCACTGTTTATAATTAGTATAGTCCGATTTCGAACACTTTTAGTCAATTTTATTCGTTGTTTGGGCTGAATCGATTTTAATTAAACATTTCTTATTATTCTCTATATTAGCAATAGATAGAAAAATTCTTCAATTATAGTCAATTACAACGAAGATTTTCTTGTCACAAAATAGTGCCAAAACGTGTTACAATTTTATTCAAGTAAATTGAATCATGTTCAATCGGCATGATTTAAGTATTGTAAACTGCTTTTATAATTTAAAATAATATTTTACGCAACAAGTGACTGCTAAAAACTACAATGCTACTCTATTAGAGTGTTCGAATAGGAATCGTTACATACAAGAATGCTCAACTATAATTCATTGCTTGCACCCCTGACCTGTATAACGCGTTTACGAATAATTAGCACAGAGCTAGATAAAAATTTGGTAATTTCTATAGAACAACCCGATATTCACGTTCGCCAACGAATGTTCTAATTTGTATTAAAATAGCAATTTAAACTTATAATGGGTCTTGCGGGCTTCCCATTTGTTCCAATTTGTTAGAACGTTTGCAAGTCGTTAAAGATGGCCGGTTGTCCGGCGCATTTACGGTGTAATGAAACATCTTCGTATTTTTTTTTCTTTCTTCTTTAAACCGGCGAAACTTTCCGATTCCGAGCCTCGAAAAAATCGTGAAACTTCCTCTCATCGCGGTAGGAATTAATCCACCTCCGCTTTATGGTAAATAAAACGCGGAAACAGTTTATCTCTTAATCTCCTTCTAACTTAATTACTTGTTACGGTATTTCGTGCCGCCCCGTTTGATGAACAAAGTCGCAAAGATTTCCCTCCGTAACCGTCCCCCCCGAACTGCTAACAGCAACACCATCGCCTCATTGCCCCCCATTTTTGTCACCCACTCTCCGAAATTTTTGAAGAAAACAGAATTTTAGAAAAAAAGTTTTCAGAAAATTTTTAGGTTATTTGTTAACACCATTTCGAAATTAATTAAGTGTATTCGGCACTTCGACTACCGCGTCAAACACCTAAAAAATTATGTACAATTAAAGTAGTTTATGTGATCAAATTAAAATTGAAGAGTCAAGCTATATGACGCCAATTACTTTTTGAGCATTCCTACCTTTTTATGGATCATAATCAAATTAGGAAGACATAATAGGTCAGTGTAATAATTAATCTTCAGTTCGTTGTAGGTTGAAAACGATACAAAGAGTACGCACAGCTTTTAACAGAGAAACCACCCTGCAACGTAATTATAAGAATTCGAAACGTATTGGGGAACAGATTGCTTTTTCCCACATTTACATGAGAAAATGAGTTTTCGACACGACATGGTTGTCGGTGTCGTATTTGTTATTTAAAAATAGCACGTGATCCTACAAATGATAATTCAATTATACATAAACAGTACAAACAATTCTAGAGAGGAACAATGACGCAACTATCGAGTGAAAACTAAATAAATAGAATTAACACTAGAACTGCCGAGCCCTAAGCGCGACTGCTGTATATTGTTTTATAATTTCTATAAAAATCCATTATAATTAAATTTTATATAAAAAGTCTACCATAATCAATTTCATCCCTACTTAAAATTAATTACAATTTAGATTTCTATTAAAGATCTACTAAATTTAAGCTCCTATTAAAAATCTATTATAATTCACTTGAACTTCATACGATTTCTATTATAATCAGACCACGGATTTTTATGAAAAATAAACATTGAGTCTGCGTCAATTGCAAGAAATAAAAACTAAATAGCCAGTTCTTTCTTTTTTTCATCATTGAAACAGATCAAACATAATACATTGTCATTATTAAATTCTTTCATTCTTTCTACTATTTTAAATTACAATTACTCCATTTTCCCATACATGCATAAAATCTGCAGTCTGATCATAATGTTTGCTTTGATTAGAAGTCTTATCAAAAGTTTTACCATTACAATGTTTTATAACATCTGGAATGCCGAAAGAAACAATCAGACACCAGTTATTTGGACTGGCTAGTAGTTTTAGTGTTAAATTTCTCAGACGTCGATAAAAATTCAAATATTCACGGAATTGCTCGTCCGCCTATCCAAGGCCACGCATTTATTATTTACGGAAGCCAGGCAGGTTATACTGTAAGAAAAGTACGGAACGACGGTGTACAGTGTTAAACTTGAAAAAAAATCGGAGGGGGGAGAAGAGGAGAACAATAGCCGCGCAAACTTCGGCCGGGCCAAATTCCGCGTTTTACTCAATGAACATAAAAAAGCCGTAAGATGACTTTTTTTTTACTTTCAGCCTCATCTTATGGGAACCCTTAAGGTGATAAGGGAGGGGTTGTAATCAAGTGATTTTTACGAGTAGCTGTTACGGGGTTGCCAATATTTGCGGATCAGGGTGGAGTTCAGACTGCAACACCCATCTCGTAAGAGTGAAAAGGGTGGCCGTAGGGTGGCCAGAGGGTGGCCAGAGGGTGGCCGGAGGGTGCTCGAGGGGGGGAAAAATGGGTATTGTGTATCCCCTCGATAAGCAAGGTGACTAATTTCCTAAAGTATACGGCGAAACTTTCTTTCATTTAACTTTCAAGCACGCCAGAAGAAGCTACAAATTTCCTATTAAATACAACAGACGAGGATGCGTAATGACAGAAATTTTCTTGGTTGCCGAAAAACTGGGTACATACTTTCCAAAGTTATATACAGACCTGAGTAAAAATATTTGAAAAAGTATTGGAAATAGTTAACGAAATACTCTGTTTATATGAAGTAATATTTCAAAATTAACACTATACCTACCAAGCAGTAATACTAACTGGCATGTACTGCTTCACAAAAATAAGAAGACCGAATTTATTTGGAATTTGTAAAGATTTATTATAAAACTTGCTCCAATAATATAACTTATTCAAGCGTTTTCCACGAAAGAGTCTCGGAACTTTGCAGAATTGCAAAATAAGAAAGCGGTCACTTTGACCGCGGTAGGTTTAGTGTTAATTCGACGTCATAGTGATAAGTGTATGTATTGAAAATAGTTACTTATGTGTAATAAAGAAAATTATTATTATGTATTTATATTTGGTATTTAATTTTAATTCTTTTACATTTCTATTAATTATTTGAAATTCCATTTCTTACGATTAATATTTGTGAGAGCAAATAAACCTATTGAAAAAGTACAAACACATATTGTTTTGAAAAACAAGCTCCTTCTTATATTTCTCTTAATTAACGAACGCACAATAAAGAGAATATTTATTTCAATGAAGTATTTCAGGTTCGTATTTTAAATACGTATTACATATTTGTAAAATCAATGAAGTATTTCAACTAGTATTTCATTTAATACCGAAATAAATTACTACTTTGAATGAAGCATATGTAACAAAGTCGAGAAAAATAGTATTAGCAAATATTTGTATCCATTAATCGAA